CTAAGGTGTAAGGAATCGTGCCGACAGCTAAATGGCCGCAGGGTGATATGCGGTTACGAACGATCCCCTTGAGGAACCGGGCGAAACCTCATTGTAATTAGCCTTCCTCTGGTAATGCGGGGCTCTGACAGAGGTGACCCACCCTTCCCTTGCTACTCATGGGAACATACATGAATACGGACAAAAAACAAACAGACAAAAAAACAACAAATCTCGAGGCTGGACAGCAATGCTGGGGATGTACAGAAATTTTCACCCCAAGTTACTGCTCAGAATGAGGCTGGACATAGCAACCACTTCGCGATGTAACACAAAGGCCAAAGCGTAAGCGTATTAGCGGCGCCGAGGCCAAGAGGAGAAAGAGAGCGAAAGAGGCAGGAAAGGCAACAACTATGAGTGCACCCTCCCCCTCTTTCACTCCACCTCCAACAAAAAGGGCATCTCTTGCGGCAGGCGCCAAGAGCTCCGCCTTGAAAAAAGGCAGGGAACCGGCTGCCACTGCAGGAAAGCGCCCTCACGCGAGTACCTCCACAGAAGGTTGAAGAAGCTGCGCAGCAACAGTAATGTCACTTCACCTTCCAAAACCTTCATGGAGGTCGCCTTGAGACACCTCAAGGTAGCCATCATAGATGAGACAAACCCGTACGGTAAGGTTACCGCAGAACGAGAGAGTCTCATCAGAAAACAACTGTTGGAGGAGCTGGACAAGATTATCTTCTCCGCCTCCAGCAACAACAGCAAACCGCCCACGTTCAAGTCGTGGATATACTCCGGTGTGATCATCAGAGCGGTCTGCGACGTAACGATAGAGTGGCTGAAGAAAGCCACAATGAATATCAAGTCATGGGACGAGGCATCACTTGCGGTCGTCAGCATGGATGAGCTCCCAAAGCTTACCAAAGCCTCACTCTGGATCCCGGAGGCCTTCCACAAGACGACATCCGGTGAAAAGGAGAGGGTGCTGGGTCGGCTGAAGGCACAGAACCCTGACCTGACGGTAGCAAGATGGTGCACTTTCTATCATGAGGCTAAGATGAACCCACAAGTACACCTCTTCGGCTTCGGGATCGGAGATGATGATATGGCTGTCCTAAAGAAGAAGTCGATGAGGTTAAGCTACGCGTTTACATCACTGACTATTGGGGTAACAAAGAAAAAGGAGCAGAGGGTACCTCTGGAGACCCTAGGTCCTCGGAAGGATACCTTTAGTATCCTTCCGAGTAACTTTTAAACTAACAGTAACATCGAAGGAATGTCCTGAATAAACAGTTAACGTAGCAATTCTTCAAAATTTGTTGTAAAAACTGTATAAATAACTGTTTACTGGGAAAACGTGAAGTGATTTTTCATCAGACGGTGGATGTTGAAGCTAGTAGAGGGACTATTCTTAATCACGTTTTTGAAGAAATTGCTCATGATATCATCGCTATTCATACATTTTTTGAGGAAGATCTTCTTTTCTGTTGAATATTAAAACTGGGGAAAGAAGGTATCATAAATTCACCAAGAACCTTGGTAAATGATATGGGTGAAAATTTTTGAAATTCTCACCCAAATATCCATCTACAACTCCCATTATCAATTTTTTTTCTCTATTTAGTTTCCATTCCAGGAAGAATGTTGAAGAAAAATAAGAAACAGTCATTGAACCTAATCTTTGGACCGTAGATGAAAATGCGCCCCAAAAATTCCTTAAAAATCCACCTAAATTGGCTTGGAGCTATTCCACATGTAATACATACCCCAACCTTCCTCCTTTTAATTAAGGAAGGGAAAATTCAGAAAGTGTATCTCCTGAAAATAATTCTTGTTTAGCGTAATTTCCGTTGCTGGTTATCATGTCTTCAATTTAAAAAATCAAATTAAACTGTCAGCTCATTTTCAGGCAAAAATTTGATGTTACCTTAGTGAAAATGACTTGAAACAAAGTTTATGAAATTCTAGATGAAACAGATCGCCTTACTTGTTTCAAAATTCGATGTTGTGAATTATTGATTTGCAATCAATTTAAATTGACCTTGACACAATGAATAAATATCATTGATGTAATAAATGAAATATTATTGAGTAACGACATGCATTTGAACAACTCATATTTTTTAGTGATTCATTGATTTCATTGATTGTTTCATGAAATAGTTGACCTGTTCGTTTGGGTTTCCTTCACTAGTGCTTTTCAGGTGTTTGGAATTTTCACAAGTGTTATCACAATTGAATATGCGACAAAAATAATTAATCATAAATGTAACATTCGAGAGATGATACTTAATGAATTACCAATTTTATTCAATTACTCGAAAATTATAACTCAAAACTTCTGTGCATTGACGCCTTTGTTATTTACTAGGAAATATATACAGAAGACAACTGAACGAAAGTAAAATAGTACATTTAAGGTTCGTGTTAAGGAAAACAGTGAAACTCAACAACATCCAACTCTCGGAAACAGCCAAACTCCTTGGTATGTTTATAGATAAAACCTTGTTTTGGGAGCCCCATATCGATCATATCTGCAAAAAATTGAATCAAGCGTTATTTGCAATACGACAGATCAAAGACGTGCTTAGTTTAGATGCTATCAGGACTGTTTACTATTCATTGGCGTACTCACATATGGCTCAAAATGTATTATTGTGAAATTTGGCATATGGATATAAAATTGCCGTAGACACAACTTTTTCAAGTAACTTTTTGTTAAATTCGATCTAGAAATGCACCTTTTCAATTTTTTTCAAAAAAATCTGAAATATATCATCACTAGTTGAAATTCAATAAATAATTCTCGAAATCAACATACGGTACATATCTTAACAAAATCCAGAAACACATCACATTTAAATTATAATTTGACATACTTCAAAGGAGAAATGCTACAGGTACAACTCTCAATTTTTTAAATGGGAAGTATAAGCTTGTGATATATCTTCATTCTCTATTCAAAAATCTTATGGCTTTCAAGTTTATTGCAACAATTAAGATTAAATGAATTGAAATCATGTGGTTACCGGAATTCGATAAAATACACTCAAAGCTTATTGAAATATACTCAAAAACTCATTTCATATTGAGGTATTGATAATAAAAAAGTAAGCAAAAACCATAGCAATGCTTTTTTAGACGGTATCCCTCAAAAAACTATAAATAATTTCCGTGGCAATGTTAATTCGAAACGCCCATTAGTTGTCAGTATTTTAATTTAATAATTTTCATTAGTTTGGACTCTCATTTTCAGATATTATATAAAATGATTTGAAATCCCTGAAAGAACTGATAAAAAAAAAGAATTAAAAATGAATAGCTGAAAATAACAAATATATTAAGAAAAAAACCTGGAATGAAATATTAGTGAGATAAAATACAAGTGAAAATAGAACAATTGGACAAAAAATAAAAAGTTAAGAGATTCCAAGCCAAGTTACTTCACGAGGAAAGCAGAGATAAGTGAAAGTATTTGAATGACACAAAAATAAATATATAATATCAGACAATGGAAGTCCGAACTAATGAAATTCATCAAGAAAAATTGTCAATCATCTTCAAACATTTCGTTAACTTCAAGTCTGACGAATGGTTAGATTACCGGAAATGCATAAAATAACAGCTTTACAAATGATTGGTTATGGAGAAGACACCCGAACACAACAGGAAGTAGCTAGCCTATTTCATGGGAAATTTCCTAATTTACCGCCCATATCTCGATAAACAAAATAGAGAAGCAGTTTCGCGGGCTTGGTCATGTGGGGCAGATAGAAAAAGCAGCTGCCAATGCAATGAGTGATGAACTTAAATTAGATGGGATGCTTGAGTTTGAGGAAAACCCACATACATCGAGTAGACAGGCATTCAATACATTCATTGTTAGCCATAAATCGATAGTAAACATATTATAAGAAAATAAAATACATCCCTATAAAATGATACCTACTCAGGAGCTCATGGAAGACGATTTTGATAGAAGAACTTATTTTTGTGAGCAAATCCAATTAGAAGACGATATGTTTTCTGATGAGTGTACTTTGTCTCTTAACGGTCATGCTAATCGGCAAAATTACCGCTACTGTTCAACGGAAAATCCTCACTGGATGAGAGAAGAACACACGTAATACCCTCAAAAGGTTGATGTTTGGGCAGGGATTGTAGGAAACTATATCATTGTTCCATTTTTCATTGAGGGAAACTTGAATGGCGATATTTATTTGGTACTACTTCAAAATGATGTCAATCCAAGTTTACCAAATTTATATCCTGATCCAGGAAACCCTCAAGTTCCAGTGAATAAGATATGGAGCAGGATGGAGTACCACCACATTACCAAGTTGAAGTCTGGCAATACCTTGATACAACATTTCTCAATCAGTGGATAGGGAGGCAGGGATCGATTGAAGGGACAGCGCGATCACCTGATCTTTCATCATTAGATTTCTCTTTATGGGGATATGTGGAGAGCAATGGATTTGAATGACTCCAAAGAACGAATAATATTTGCGATTAGGTCGGTCACGCCTGATATGTTAGAAGAAGAAGTTAGGATGTTGCCAAGATGTTCGCGGTGAACATTTTAAACATCTACTTCGTCAACATCCATAATTCTTTTTCGTATTCTACATTTAATTACCTTTGGCATTACATTTTAGTTTTTGAGTGTATTTTATCGAATTTCGGTATTCACATGATTTTAATTTATTCTATCTTAATTGTTGCAATGGACTTGAAAGCCATGGCATTTTTGAAAAGATATATCACAAGCCTATACTTTCCATTTAAAAAATTGGGGGTTGTACCTGTCATTCGAAGGGGGTTGAAGGTAGGGGTGGCATTTTTACGTTGAAGAGTGTCAAATTATAATTTAAATTTGACGTGTTTCGGGATTTTGTTAAAGTATGTACCGTAACCGAAATAATGAATGTATTTCATTTGGCTTCTACACACTGTATATTTTCTGTAATATTTTCATTATTTTGAGACAAAACTGTGAAATGTCAAAGTTCATTTTATTTCAGCTTTATCTCAACGAAACCTGCATTTGTCTTCTCGAGTACACCAAAACGGCAATGTTCATGTGGATGTTCATCGAAGGCCTTTACCTGCACAACATGATAACAGTAACAGTCTTCCAGGAGTACACGTACATTAAAATTTACTGCTACATAGGATGGATTGTTCCTGGATTGATGACAGCTGCCTGGCTGATTTTCATGTTGGTGAAAGAAGCAAAAACGTGAGTGAAAACGTAATTTTTTCCACTATTGTATTGATCATCAGACTTCTCAATCATATAATTTACTTTTGATGGATGTTTCATCAACTGAAACTATCCAAAGTGGGTTCATTATGAAGTATTGAGACGTGTTTTGTGAATCATGTCTCAGTGATATTTTGTAATACACGGGATCTTCTGACTACAAACTCATTTCAGTGTTCAGTAAATTACCGATAATTGTTGGGGAACAATTTGAGCCGCGCGAAGATCAGCTGAAATTTCCTCTGGCTAGATGTTTGTTTCAGCTCGAAAGATTCACCAACTTGTGTTTCAGAAGTCACGGAAGTTATTCTATCATCCATGGATGCATACATTCCTTTTTCAATGAAACGACCTTCTAACGGCAAAACTTGGTTCAACAAAAATTTCGAGCAAGCTGTCTCCTCCAAAAATCTCGTCTACTGGCAGTGGCGCAAAAATCCCAGTGCCGAAAACCAAACCAGGTTTATCAATGCTCGCAACAGCTACAACCTCAAGATAAATGAAAGCAAGGAGCTCCACAATCAGAGAATTAGGGATAAATTGCGTGCTCATCGCAACGAGTCTAGGTACTTCTGGTCGGTAGCTGAAGCTGTCAATCAGATCTTTACAAAATCCATTCCTAACACAAGCGGATGGTTTAATTGTTATAACAGTTATAGAAAAAGCAAATCTACTAGCTGAACAATTTGCGTCCCACTCCACAGTCGATTTTCTGAGAAAGGCATCACCCACTATTCCCAGACTAGAATCTACAATGCCGGAAATTGTTTTTCGACAGCGTCTAGTAAGGCAAATTTTTAAATAGCTCAATATCAACAAGGCGTCTGTCAGGTCCTGATGAAGTGCCCGTCATCGTACTCAAAAAGTGCGCAAATTACCTCGCAACCTGTCTTATAAGAAAGAGGTTTTTTCTTCTTGTTGGAAGATTGCTCCCAAAGCCTTTTCCCAAAAAGGACAAGAAAACTTCCAAATAACTGTAGACCAATCGCTTTGCTTTCAGTGATATCATGAACCATGGAGAAAGCCGTAAACCTCAAATATTCGGAAGGCTTCATCATCTTGAGCAATCATCAATATGGTTTTCGAAAACAAAGATCACCAGGCGACCTTCTATCGTATTTCACCCATATTTGAAATAACGCAATCGAGAAACATGGAGAGTCAAGAGCTTGATTTTTCTAAGGCCTTTGATCGTGTGTAGTATGTTGGTTCAAAAATCCGTTCAAAATCTGTTTTTCCGTTAATCAGCTGTCGTCCCCATATGAACAATTCTCAGAAGTTGAGAAACTTGTGCGAGCTAAGGACTAACGAGGTCTTACCTTTTAACTTGTGATTCCTAACACAGTTGCAAAATCATTCCAGCTTCAACCAGATAAATTATCTCTAAGAAAATATCTGGTCGAGGCAGGAATCGAACCCACGGTCTTCCAATCGTGAGTCGGGCGCTCTACCACCGCGGCCAATTCCACAAACTGGCCAAACTTCGATGCTATGACTAGTCGGATCATTTTTGTGTATGGATCTTAAGCTTTCTGAAAGAACGTTTCCTGCAAGTGGCTGTCGATGGAAATCTCTCCAATACTTTCACCATTAACGCTGGTGTTCCCCAGGGATCCATATTGTCTCGAACTTTCTCTTTATTGAATATCAACGACTCATTGAAAAAAAAAAGAATTTAATATATTGCTTTGCTGACGACACCACACTTATCTCGTCAATAAATATAGATCCCAAGACATCGGCTGCAGAAGCACATCTTCGCCGACAGCAGGAGGTTGAATATCTTAATGGATATCTAGAAGTAATTTCGAATTGAGCTGTTTCCCGCGGCTTCGCCCGCGTAGACTTTGGTGTGTCACATTAAGTTTCGTGACAGACCATTTTGAACAAATATTTACATTATTTTTTTATCAACCCAAAACTTCAGGTTTTCAACTTCAGAACTGACAAAATTCAATACAATCTTCAAACCTCCATTTTACCTCTTGTGGGTGGAAATTCCTGATTTCTTTTTTATGCTTATTTAGCTATACAAAGAACCTACCTGCATTTTTCAAGATCCGAGGTTAAGTAACTTTGGCTGTACGTTGATATAAGAGTGTCAGTCAATCAATAGCTAACCACTTATACCCACGTTTCATTCAGAAGTGGACATAAGGATTATCATTTTGTGATAATGAAAGAAAAGACTGGAGTTTGTTCTTTCTAGAAGGAATATTTGAAACTCAATCTTCTAGAAAGTACTATAATTAACAGAATAAAAACTCCCAATATCTGAATTAGTCCTTTTATAAACGATAACTGAGTAATAATCATTACCTTATTGACCCGTTTTACCCATACATACCTGTATTTACCTGTTCTTAGTGGTGAATTGAGTATTATTTCCGCCTCTGAGTCCAACTTAGAGTTAATCATCTAATCATCTGATTGAATCGTAGGAGGATGGAGGATGGTTAAAATTTCGGAGCAATTTATAGGTCCTGCTTGGGAAAGCTCTTCTATAATGGAAAACGTGTCATGGTTTTGTAAAACTTTCACAATGAGAATCACAGTGAGATGTATCAGTCAACACAAGCGTTTTCATTCAGTTTTTGGAATAACCGACAACCGAATTTCATGTGGATGGAACTGACAGTTCATTAATATTTTTTATGCAATTCACGCCCGTCGCAGTGACCAATTTTCTTGTGAATACTAAGATTTTATCCCTTGCAGTCTCTATAGGGCATTGCAAATGATTTTTGGGAAAAAAATCAATAGTAGTATTAAAATGGAAATAACAGAAATTAGTGTACGGGGATGAAATTAAATCAATTTTGGTTGTGGAAAATGTTTTTCGATGATTTCCATTCCTTATACATGGAAAAGTTGCATACAAAAGTTATAGGAGATATGAAGATCACTCTAATAAAATGTATAAAATCACATTTGTCTAATTACCACTAGTTGATTTTGTTTATACGTTCGGTTTCGGGTTTGACCTCATTATTTTTATTCATTTCATTAAAGTGATCATGAATTACCATAAAATAATCTGCACAGATTATTCACCTAATGTATTAACAATTGGACCATTTTTTTAACCGGAAACAAACTTATCATCGAGAATATCTGGCAGCCTTACTCTCAAGTTTCAAGTTTGGAATAATATCACCTGATCGTCTCACTTTGCTTCAGTTCATAAAATCCCATACGTTGTTTGAAAACGGAAATGATTTTTTGTCAATGTCGGTTTGATCAGCTTTTTGGATTTTTCATTTCACTGATGTTTTTTTTTCCGATGTTTCTTTCTTGTCGAGACTAGTTACGAAGACTAAATGGATGAATAATCGATGTATTAACGATTTTTCTCTTATGCTATATGGGAATAGGATTTTTGTAGAAGAGTGTCTTGTCACTGATTGTGAGTAATATTCACCATAACGTATAGAAACAGCAATTAACTCTGGAAATCCTTCTCAAATATGAATGAAGGACTTCATGTTACAAGTTTTCAAGGTTTCATACTGAGAAGGGTTCGATGTATTTCAACGAAACTCTTGATTCCTTATGAGTTACTTCAATAAGCAATTCCTCAAACCATTGCCATTAGTAGTCTGGCGTAAATAATTTGCCCTTCAACTAAATATAACAGATTTGCAGACAGCTCCTAGTAACTCCAGCTACTTCCTCAGTAGCCTGGTTCTGGATTCAAGAATCCTCATCTTATGATAGCTTTCTATAGATCAGAGGTTCTCAGACTTATTTTGTCTACCGCTCACTTCGAGAATTAATTATTTTCTGGCGTCCCCAAATTTTTTTACTTTATTACATCTTAAAAATCACAATCGCAGTCATTATTTCATAATTGAATCAGATGTGTCATGTGAAAATAAAACTTTCTGATGAGGGTTATGTAAAACACCATTTTGTAATATTAGAAAAACTTTTATTCATGTAATTAAAACAAACATTTCAATTTGAATTTTAAAACTAATTTAATGTGAAGGACGAATTTGATGATTTTTAACAAGTTTGTTAATATCAGGCTCGAATTTACCCAAAAACAGTCACCGCGTTCGGTAATCTGTAACGGATTTAATTTTTTAGTTAACAACGTTGCCACAACACTAAATCCATGTTCACACAAATACGATGATGAGAATGCTATCAGAACTCGTCGAACGATGGACCACAATCCAGGGTACAATTGCGGGATTGGCTCTTGTAGCCAAAATTCTTGGTATCCATTTTTCAATTTTATTTTTACTTCCTCGTTCGTTATCAATTTTATGAGTTCTTCTTCCTGCTGGGGTGATCCTGCTGTGTTGACATTTGGAAAAGGATCCAACACCCAGTCCGGTATTTCCAATTTTAAAATGTCCTGGAATCGTTCTGCAAAATCACTGTGGAGGTTCTCCAAATGTTGGCAGTAAACAAGCAAGTCGTCATTGTTGAAGAATACTGCTGACAAATTAGGGAAATTGCGAAACTCACGTCTGCCGATATCATTCTCATATAGGAGCAATTTGGTTACAAAAGCAGCAATAACATTTTTTGTTTCAATCAAATTCAAGTTGTCACCTTGGCGTTGGAGATTGACATCATTAAATAATTTATACAGGTCTGTCAAGTATGCAATATCATTTTTTGAAGTGATCAGGTTGTCGTGCAATTATTTGTCTTTGTTTTCCAAGAACTCTATTACAGAGTCAAATAGATTGTAAAATCGAGTCAGACAGTTACCTCTCTATAACTAAGGCACTTCTGTGTGAAATAGCAATCGGTTGAAATCTTCATCATTAGCTACACAAAGCTGATTAAATAATCTATCATTTAAAGAGCTGTTTCGGATTTTATTGACTGCTTTGATGATATATTGCAGTGATTGAGAGAGGCGCTCACTCAAATTGTATGACAACAACAATGCTTCATTGGTTGGTAAAGTGGACTCATCTAACTGAATTGAGAATTTAGAAGTCTCCAGATGATTG